AACTTTCAATCGATGGAAAAGCTGCAAATCCTCTTGGAGGAGCTGCAGGAAGCAGGATCTGACATTAAAACCACCAGAGCGGGCATGACCACGACGCATTACCATTGCATCTACTGCTGGTGCTACTGAAAGTATAGTAGAAGGGGCAGCAGCAGCAGCAGCAGCAGCAGCAGCAGCAGCAGGACGAGGAGGAGTAGTAGTAGTAGTAGTAGTAGCAGTAGTAGTAGTAGTAGTAGTAGTAGTGGTGGTAGCAGTGTCGTAGTAGTCGTAGTAGTAGTAGTAGTAGTAGTAGTAGTAATAGTAGTAGTAGTAGTAGTAGTACTAGTAGTAGTAGTAGTAGTAGTAGTAGTAGTAGTAGTAGTGGCAGCAGCAGTGGTAGCAGCAGTAGCAGTAGTAGTGGTAGTGGTAGTCGTCGTCGTCGTAGTTAGTAGTAGTAGTAGTAGTGCAGCAGCAGCAGCAGCAGCAGCCGGAGTAGTAGCAATAACGACAGTACTACTAATAATCGTGGTCGTATGATGGTAGAGTTGGAAACAACGGCAGCAGCATTAATAGTAGTAGAAGCAACAGTTGTCGTTTCTTCTACATGAGCATACGAATCCAATTCGAGCCCCGCACGCTCCAGATCCGAGGAAACCAACCTCAAGGAAAACAAGCTCGCTGTACAGGCATGCCTGGGCCCAGCAGGGCTCCCCCACAGCTCTCGATGTCGCAGTAGCAGTAGAACCACTAGTCGTCGTAGCAGTAGCAGTAGCAGTAGCAGTATGGAGTAGGAGAAGGAGTAGGAGTAGGAGTAGGAGTAGTAGGAGGAGGAGTAGTAGGAGGAGTAGTAGTAGGAGGAGGAGGAGTAGCAGCAGCAGTAGAAGCAGAAGCAGTCGTGAGTATCAATAGTAGTAGACTACTATTGGTAATAATGTTTACATCGATTTGGGTTGCTATCACTTCCACTACCACTACCACCACTCCTACCACTCCGCTACTACTACTTCTTCTACCAAGCAGGTCAAAGCTGATCAAAGTTCAATTATCGATGTAGGGGATGCCATCGTGTTCTGGCTGCTTTGCATGAACGATCGGGACCGAACTCGGCCGATTTGGTCCTCGAACTGATGTTGCATTATCCTCAAGATCCATTGGACCATCACTTGCGTCACATGCGTGTTGACGTGCTCGAAGCCGACACTGTTGCGAATGAGTCCTCTCTAGCAGCTAGCAGTGCCCCACACTCGGGTCATGTGAAGGCGTCCCTAGCAAGACACAAGACAAGTGAACGCAAAACATAACGTCTACGCCCTTTGCCAGCCAGTCCTTTGACTTTAATTTCATCCTCTTTCAACCACGCTTCTGCATTCTCAGAATCTGCATTGCAGAGGGCCTCGGTGATGCGCCTCATACCCACTTCACCTTGCAACATCTGCTCTTGAGCGGAATGCATGGCTGTGTCGGGCATGACGAAAGTTACGGGCACTTCCAACTTGGTGGCCATAAATTGTTCGTAGACAGTCCAAATTCTCGTTAAATACATTGGTTTGTCCCATGTGTCAAGGATGGCCACCACCCGGCCAATGCGCTTCAGGTTGCTCTCAAAGACAGCTTGCAAATCCTCGGCATCCATCCCGGTAGACTCCAATATGATCCTGAACTGATTATTGACGAAGAAGCACATGTAGAAGAATACCCTGCTTTCCTCAACATTCCTTTGAAAGATCTGTAGGGCACTCTGCACCTCGGACAAGCGGTAGCGCCATGTCCAGGACATAAAGTGGGATTGCTCCTGTCGTCCAGATCTGGGGATCCAGTCAACCAGAGCACAGCCCATCCGTCCATCTCTAGGGCACCGGACGTCGTGGCCAAGCGGCTCATCGCACATCCAGAATGCATCCTTCATGTCGTTGAAGCTGGGGTCCTGCTTCTTGGTGCGCTCCCTTGCCACGCTGGCGAAGTCCTCCGAGAGAAGATAGTGCAGCCCAACCCCTGCAAGCAAGCTTTGCTGCGCCTGCATCTCGGCCAACTTCTGCTGTACCTGGTTGCCTAAAATCTTACTTAGGGTCCCTATTAGGGTCCCTTTTTATAAGGGTGCCTTACTACATTGGGGACCAAAAAAGGGACGACAATTTAGAGAACTACCCCACCTGCATGCGCTTCATCCCAAGGAACTGGAGAATGGCCGCGTGTTTCTCGATCTCAGGATGCTCGTCCCAGAGGTCGCGGTAGGCTACATCCTGGGTTTAGGGCTTAGGGTTTAGGGCTTAGGGTTGTTTGGGGTTTGGGGTTTAGAGTTTAGGGTTTAGGGTTTAGGGTCTGGGCGATGCTACCCCGGCTACGCGTAACGCCACAAGAATCAGAAACTTGTCTGCACTTGGGATGCAAAGAGCGTTTAAGGGGGGTTTGGGGTAATTTAGTGTGAAGTCACTTGCTGCTGGTCAAGGCTCCAAAGCATGTTTGATCTCTGCTTCTGTCCGGGCTTTGTAGTTGGAAATGCAGACCCACAACGCAAGAAGCGCCAGTGCCGCGGCCGCGAACACCGTGGGCAGGGGCCATAATTCGCAAACATCATTCACAATGACGAATGGGAAAACACACTCCTCACAGACACCAAACACGGAGATGCTCCCATCCGCGCATTTCTGGCAGCCCTCTGAGTCGCTCGTCGGCACGAAGCCTTGCTGGCAGGTCTCACACCGGCCTCCAGGGAGAGCGAACTGCCCCACAGGACAAGGCTCGCAGCCTAGTCCATTGATAGCCGGGGAAAAGCCCCCCGGGCAAGGCGGCCTCTTGAAGGCATCGGCGCCGCGAAACATGTCGTGGCTCGCCGGGACAGGCAAACGCCATGACCTCAGGGGCTGGTTGAAGGACACTGCATCAGAGAACATGAGAGTCGTGTCAAGGACTGCTGAAACATTCCAGGTGAAGATAGGTTGATTGAAAGCGACCGCCCCATCAAACATGTAGCTCATGTCGGCCACAGACGAGGTATCCCACGAGCCGATCGGCTGATTGAATGCCGACGCCTCCTGAAACATGTGGGCCATGCTCCTCACAGATGATGTATTCCACAGTTGAAGGGAGCTGTTGAACACTGATGCCCCAAAGAACATGCCGGTCATGTTCGTCACATAAACAGTGGTCCAGTTTTCGATCGGCTGATTAAAGGAGGTGGCTTCTGAGAACATGAAAGACATGTCTTTGACGGACGAGGTGTCCCACATGCCGATAGGCTGATCGAACACTGCAGCTCCGGAGAACATGCCGCGCATGTTGGTCACAACAGCTGTATCCCACGCTCCGACAGGGTGGTTGAAGCTTGCTGCATTTTGGAACATGCTGCTCACATCGGACACCGCCGACATATCCCATGTGCTGAGCGGTTGATTGAAGATGCCTGTGTTCTGAAACATGCCACTCATTCGGATAACGGCACCTGTAATCCAAGAGCCAACTGGCCTGTTGAAGCCAAAAGCACCTCGGAACATCTCGCGCATGCTTCTGACGATGACGTGTTCCAGCTGGCAAGCGGCTGGTTGAAGGATTCGGCATTTGAGAACAGCGCCGTCATGTCTGAAACGCGGGACGTGTCCCAGGATTCAAGTGGCTGATTAAATGCAACAGCTCCATGGAACATGTGGCTCATGGTCTGCACATTCGAAACATCCCACGAGAAAATCTCATGATTGAAGGCAGCTGCACCGTCAAACATGTGCGCCATTGTAGTCACTGATGATGTCTGCCAGCTGCCAATTGGCTGATCGAAGGACCGAGCACCCTTGAACATTTGGCTCATGTCCATCACACCGGCCACATTCCATGTGCTGATGTCCTCGTTGAAATTGCTGAGATCTTCGAACAATCCGCTCATGTCCGTCAGGGCTGATACGTCCCAATTTCTTATTTCTCCATAAATGGACCGCAGCCGTTGCTGACTAGT